AGAAGTTTTGTGCTGCACCTCGTTCATCGCTGAGATCTTGCTCACGTATGAGTTTCACATAGTCATCATTCTGCTGTTTCTGTAATACCAAAATTTATGCGAACTTCACATTTCTGAGATAAATTATAAAAGAGAAGGGAATATACAATCGATAATTACCCTGTGTTTACGTTCAGGAGTCATTATCGAATGACCTTGTCCAATAGGTAGTGAGGCAGCGATAGGTGCACTTCTTGAAGGCAGTGGTTCCTGCTGAAATCGCCTATACTTAACAAAAATCAATGTTAGTAAAGTCGGTTACGGTTCAGTAACCATTAAATGTAACGGTGCCAACATGCGCCCTTCTCCGTCAACACACACAAGTCAGCACAATGATTCTATTATATAATAGGTGTCGATCTGAACCTACTACGTGGAACGCCGCGTGCGCGATTCATGCGACACAGAGTTGACGCTTTCGCCGCGCCGCCTGCTGCTGCAGCGCGATCGCAAGACCAAGGAAAGGGACATGTCGCATCTGCCTGATTAGCGGGACCGGCCGAAAATACTGTAGTTTGAATAAATGCTGCTCATTCGACCATTTGGATAGGGTTCCATATTTGGAGATGAACGTTCGTCTAGCAAAAAATAACTGCGAAAAACAACCCCCAAATTCGGTGTTGTGACTTCTCTAATCCTTTTGCTCCTTTCCGTCTTTCGAGGCAAGACACCAGACATAACGCTCAAAGTTTTACCGCATGAAAAGTAGCTCATGGAACCCAATCCCCGAATCGTCCCCACTCCCCCCCCTCCCCGGGGTAATCGTCAGGAGGCCCGTCGCGCGGCAACAGGCAAAGTCAGCGGACGAGTCGCAGCGCGTACTATAGTGATTTCGCGTCAAGTTAAATAGAATGTACCATTGTACGTCCTACATCGCACATCACGCGCTGCGACTCGTCCGCTGACTCTGCCTTCTTGCCGCGCGACGGGCCTCCTGTCGGGTACCCCCTCCCCGGCTCATGTACTCTTGCTACTGTCCTATTCGGCTACAACAGCTAAATAAACAACAGACAGGTAAGTAAGTAGCCGATGTGTAGGATCCTTCAACGGTTCGAAGCAATGTTCATACCAAAGCCTTCGAAAAGATCTAATGGCACACGGTCATGACTTTGTTATGGGAAGCTTCTATCCGTTCCCAAATCAATATGCTTCACAAAAAATTCCGCAGAAGAATTGACTTCTTTCAAACTTTGGTATTGTTCCATATTTCTTCAGAAACGAGTGTTCACCCCCCCCCCCAATTAGGTTAACAAAACAGATAATCAAAAAAAAACTCGACTCTTACCAGGGATGTGTTTCAGAATTTGAAAGCAGCGTCAAGTTGACAATGAAACGAAGTGGAATCAAATTACTAGAAACGAACGTTTACCTACACTCCCTTCAACGTAACGTAGAACTATACCCCAAGGGGTTCCTAAGAGGCCCCTCGCGCGGCGAAGTAAGAGACGGATGCGGCAAGAGGACGAGTCGCAGCGCATACTGTAGCGGTTAGGCGTCAATTTCAATAGAACGCATTACAGTACGTACAACACCATTCACTCCACGGCGTGGGCTCAAAATTCGATATCTGCTTATACACGCCGCTTTTTCTTGTTTTTTTTTTGCGCTGTTACTTTCAGGGAAAAAGAACCTTAGTTTTCTGTTCCATGCATGCTTCCATACCATGCGAAAAACGGTGCTAACTTAGTTGGGGGGGGGGCACGCGGCGGCGCGGCAGTCTGCTCGCCTGGCATGTTCGGAAATCCGTGGGCCAGGGGGAGTGTAGGCAGTCTAGGGGGGGGGCAGTCACTTGACATGCGTGAAAAGAAAAAAAAAGTTTACACCAGGTGAGCAGACTGCCGCGCCGCCGTGTGCCTCCCCCAACTAAATTAGCACCCGAAAAACTGCTTTTTTTAAAGGTGGACACTGCATGGCACAGTTTCCTTGTCAGCAGCGGTCTGTCCTCGCAGCTGTGCAAATTGTGCATCACCGACTGATCCAATGGGCCGATGGGGACAGACACCGAAGCATCCCTCATTCCCAGCCCTTTCGTTAGTGGTAGTCGCTGAATGCCGAACACAGGGTCAGTCAGTCGTGACTCGATCATCCACATCTCATCAAGTAGATCTATGGCTCAGCTTGGAGGAGGATTTCACGATAAGGTCGGAGGCCGAAGAAGAGGGAGCGCGGATGCGCTAAAGCTACGGACCGACAAGCAATTCGCAAATAAGGAGATGCCTCCGGCGATCTAGCATGGCCCTCCGTGGGCGCTATCGGCGCGATACGCCCATCCACTGGCTAACCACTTCTTTAGCTCTTCAGCAGAGCGTTAGCTTCAGAGAGAGCAGCACCGATGAGAGTCGCATCAGCGCGGAAAGGATTGGGCAGGGAGGTGTCCCGTTTCCTTCGTGCGGCACTACAGACCATTTCTACATTGATTCTAATGGACTGCCTTCTAATCATAAACTCCGCCTTTAATTATTGTTATCAAAAAACCAATCTATTTGTAAATAAACTCCGCCTTTAATTATTGTTATCAAAAAACCAATCTATTTGTAAAACAATGTGAAAGTGTAAAAATATTTACCTTCACCATGTTGTAAAGAAACGACGGCTGAGATGAATCGGTTGACTTTTGTGGAAATGGAAAAATCGGATGATGTGATGAGTCTTTCAGGTAAGCTGGCAAATGTGCTTGGCCAGCCAGTGGTGACGTAATCATTGCCTTAACAATAAAGTTTTACCTGAAACATTCACTGCTCTTTTTAGTCCCTTAGTTCTTTTATAGTTTTCATGTTTTGTACAGTACCTATTTCTCCGTTCATAAAACATTTATTTGCTCTCAAATTTTCGCTGGTTTCAGTACGTTGGTATTTCAAGTTGCCCAAGTCGAGGGATTCCTTTATTATTTGCCGCCCGATTAGGATAATCTATGTATTAAACATATACTGTAACCAGTTGTACTATATTCTCAATTGCTTCATTCATACTGCAAATTCATGCTGTCATGAAGCTTGGATCACCGGCGAGTGCGGTCGCGGTGCGGCTAGTCATGTCAAATGTGAACTTAACAGTCTTGAAAGATGTTAAGATGAATAGTTGAGCATTGGCGATAAAATAAGGAACGTTCGTATAAATTTCAAAGCCTGGGGAGCAAAATAGCCACACATCGTAAGTCCAACTCCACTGCCAAGTGATTACAGCATTTATTGGAGGACCTGGTCCATTCTGATCCCGTTCCAGCAGGCAAGTCGAAGAGAATTTGAACAAGAAGTTAGTCCAAACCAAAACTGGAACGTTCGTTCAGTGCACAAGGGGGGTTGCATTTAGGTTCGTTAGAAGGGACGCTACATATGGACGTGTAAAGGATAAGCACTGAAAAATGCATTTTTAAAACATGCATTTTTCCGCATTTTTTAAGAACTGTGTACTATTTTTATTTAATATTTATTCCGATGCCTTCGGTGTTATAGATTTTACGCCCTGTTCTTCTTTTGCAAGGTTTTTTGGCAAACTGCTATGACATGGGAGAGACCAGTGGAGCAGAGCCGAAAGGGCTCAAAAGGCAGGATAACCCGACGAGATAGAGAGGTGGTTTCCGTAACATTGAAAGGTGGGTGTATTCTCAGCAATAGGGTCGAATTTCTTGAAGGCAGAAAACGAGTCTTTGTGGGAAATCAGAAAAATTTCGAACAAAAATTTACATGTGTTGAAAATTTTGGTAAAATTGCCGTTGCAACAGTTCGATACTTCTGTTCGACGTATTTTTGAATTTTAAGAGCGGATTAGAAGTGTGACAGATCGGACCAGGTTCAATGACACTTTCGACACTAACCATAACCATCGGAGGAGGCGGAGAAGGGGGTCGTATGTCCGAAATCAGTCGGAAGCCATACGTAGTCAGGCCCTAATAGAGTCCCATGTGAAGGACAAGAAGGGGAAGGGGGAGAAAGGGAGGTCTCATATATTTTAACAATCCCCATGACGCCGCGGCTTATTGTGAGCTTGCAACAGCACGGGTGTCAACCTATGGCGTCAATCGGTTTGCAACAATAGGGGGA